TGATAATAACTATGATTTACTCACCCTTGTTTCTTAGAAATGTTGCCTCTATACATGGGTGACTTGCAGGTAATCAAGAATAGTTCGTCGAGGCTTAGAGGATAGCTGTGGAGTGTGTTCTTTAATTCCTATAAAATAAAAGGGTCTTGCTCTGATATGTAACATCGGGGATGGGATCGTTTGACTTGAATAATTATGTCATTTTTTAATTTGAAGTTTAAACTGCCTTTCATGGTATCTGTTTTAATTGAGTTGTGAATCACAAATGAGAAAGTATGATGAGGATTCTATGAAGTGTTTTCTTTAATAAAGTGTTTTAAAACTATGAATTTTGTTGCGAGAAGTTGAAGTTACATTGTCATTAATGAAGTATTTGCTATAATTGATTTTTAAAAACATGTGTTACGGAGCAGGGTGTTTATATGACGTTTGTGTGAAGATGTGACACCCTTGTTGGTGATTCTATTTGTTTTATTTTTCGTAAAATTATATGCGAAATATATGTGGATTTAGAAGGGTGTTATAAATATCATTGAGTTTGATTGTTTTTATCTCATTTTTGTAGGTATTCAAGCAATGATATTTAGTCATTGTTAAATAGGACATTAAATAAGTTTTCCAATACTTCTGACCATGCATAAATTTAAGTTACGGTTCTCGAGTTATGGTGAAAGCAAGAAACCATTTTTTCTTAATGTTGTTAATTTTGCCAGGCGGGCTCGGGGAATTTTGAGAGCTTCTTGGTTTCCAGGCGAATCCAGGAGCATTTTGAGCGCTCCGAGATTCGCTAGGAGAATTTGGCTGTTTTTGCGCTGTATTTTGGGAATAAAGTGACGATTCGCTGGGCGAATTTTGTGAGCGCCAGGTGAATTTGTTTGGGAATAAACTTGTATATTTAGTTTTAGAACACATTTTTAGGTTATGGTTTGGATATTTTTTCTCCTTACTCCATCACAAACATTCTTTGGTAGAGAGGCTTAGAAAACAACAATGGATATTACATCTTAATGATTCAGAGTCAGATTCTCATCAATCGTCTTGACACCGCGAGAGATGTTTGATTCTTCTTCCTTCCTCTCTTTGTATTCTCTAATGTTGGGGTTTGTATGTAAGTTTACTTTGATTTTATGTATATGTATTGATCATGTCATTGCATAATATCTATTTTTTAAATCTATACCGATGTTTATCCTTGTTTTTGCTTTGTGCTGAGATTTGAGTTACTATAGACATATACTCTTCAAATTTTGTTCTTGGATGCTTATCTATTAGGTTCTAGACCCTGGAAATGGATTTTGATCTAATATTTGTATGGGTATTGATTCTTAATGCTCTGTGTTGTTTAATTGCACGAGACATCACCGATGAGATAATGCGATATAAATCTCGTTAGTGCTCCAGACATAGACACTGATGTGAGGGATACATGATGATATTGACGAGTGATTAGGTTGCGTACAACTGGTCAGTATGTTTAAGTAATTGACGGGTAGAAGAAATACAATCCCGTGAGTTCTTTCATCTCTCAAAAATGTATTTATTTTCTGTTAATATGTTTAACTTTATGCACTTTACGTTTTAAACCATACAAAACAAAGCTCAAAGACGTGGAGATTACTGAATGGAATCTTTCCCTCGCATTGATCCATGTGGAGACGATAAAACCCGAAATACTTCCAAACTTAACTTTTGCTTCTTTCTACTTTACCAATATATTGCAGTTCAAACAGTTCTCCAAAAGCGTGTGGCGTCATGATAGGGTGTGACACGCTATAGAACCATGACAAGTAGCCCTCAACACAAGCTTGGTGTACATGCGTTGACTCCCTATAATACTTAGCTAGTATTCGGTGACTCTCAAAATCATCCAATATCTCTCGTAGGTCTCTACGGGGGAGGGTGGGAAGAGCATACACATGGGGATGTATCAGAATAATATAAGAGTAGTCAAACTGGCACATCACTCGCTCAGGCGGATAGGGTACATAAGAGATGATCCACATGCCAACCATCCAGAGTATAAGGAATGGACGTCAAACATATGCGTTTGACGGTGACCCTCGTATGGACAAAAGAAAATGGAATATGGTACCATACGATCAAGAGAGACTCTGAATGGCTCGAATGCATTATTCCCCTGTATGGAACAAATGCGGCAGCACGAGGCTAATCCTTTGTGTATTTATGCGTAAATTCAAAACTGGTGATGCAAAGAAAGTGAGAGATGATTCATCCCTGGAAATGTTTTGGATACAATGTTAGTAACAAGTGTAACAAAAAAATCATGACAATATTAGTAACAAGAAATTACTGTAAGCAGCGTGCAACACCTCATCAACTTCTTTGTCTTCCAAAGACAACTCTCGCCCAGCTTCGAGTACATGCAGACCAAACAGACGGGCCCTCAGTTATACTCGTGAATTGTAGTCAGGTATGTGAAGTATTTGAGGTATACCACATCGATATATGTTGCACTTTTGTCCACGAACATGGATGTGCCAACCAAGAACAAGAGGTAACACCTTAATGTGTAATGTCAATGGTACTCAACCTGCTCATCATCACCATCGACAACCCCCTTCACATGATCATTATAAAGCTTTTCCAAAAAGCTAAATTGTGCAAGAGCATCTATAGTGTGAGATTCCTCCTACGATGCTCTACCAAGGTCATCCCCCAATAATCTAACCATTAGATTGACCCCTTCCTCTCACTCGATCCTCTTGTGGTCCAATAACCTTCCCCTAACGCAAATGTATGAGGCATGAGGTTTCATCCAAACCGATAGTCATCTTTCCTATAGGTAGGTCAAAGATGACGTCTTTGAGTTCCACCTCTCTGCAAAAGCCGCCTGCATGTCGTGGTTTATGGTCAGGTATGTAGATAAACATAAACTGGCAATATCGAAATAGCAGATAACATCGTCGAACTAACAATTTATAGGATGTGGCAACACCAGTATCTTTCTGCCGTAGTTAATCATTTTCAATATATCACGCTCCTGGAAAAATAAAACATAAGCATTAATATAGATTTAATTAGTTGAAACATATGTATATGTATTGTAAAAAAAAGAAATATATACCCCCATTTCAGACATGCCTAACAGCATGCTCTGCATAATTATACAGTAAGGATGTTTCATATGACCCTCCAGGATGAATCTTTAATGAGGAATCTTAATCGGCTTCCTCTTATGCTTCAAGGTTAACAAGGGCCTCAGGATCCTCGGGTTTTGCTGCATCGTATGTCTGAGATGTCTGAGAGAGTCGGCTACGAGAACCAAACGATCGGGGTTGTGAAGAAGATGCATCATCAAACGAGTTATCAGTAACTCGTAGCCTCGTTGTCCACACTACGTTCCTCTTACGTCGTACCGACGCAGTTTAAGACACATATCTGGCCCCAATCTGACCTTCGTTGTTGTCAGCTATCACACCTACGTTATAAATAGAGACATATATAAACAAGGTGTCCATAGAAAATTACAAATCCAACAAAAACACCCAATCTTTTGTCTTGGTACACTCCAGAGATACATCTTCGAAAATAATTCAAAGCAAATTTGGAGATGCATATACGGACAAACCTGTGATTGTCTCATCTATGGAAGATACACCTTTTCTACCCTTACACATCCAAAAATCTCATTGCATGTTCTAATAGCCTATCAATTTCGTTTACACTACTACCTAATATACCTGAAACAACTAATGTATCATAAAAATCTAACTAAAAATCAAAACATAAAAAAGAAAGTAAAATTTAAAAAATTTACTAAAAGAAACTGATTGATTAGAATGAGTAGATTGGGTGTTATGAAATGTTGGAAAGAGTTCCAAAGATATAAGTTTGATTGAATGGATACATAGGTAAAATTATTGTAGAGTTCAAATGACTTTTTTTTGGAAACTTTTGAGAAAATGAAGGAGGAAGAGAGAAGGGTCTGGTGCGGAATATGAAACAATATTGTCCGATGATGCATCTCTAGACCACCCACTAACTTTTAAATAAATGATATTTACGGAGATGCATCTTCGAAAGCACTTTTTACACATACAGAGATGCATCTCCAGATTAATTTTTTACGTAAAAATTGTGCCTCTTCAATTTAAACTGAGAAATAATAAAAATAGATGCGCTCAAAGATACATTTTTGTATGTCAGAGACAATATAGACTTTTCACATTAGTGTGAGAACATCTATAAAGATGAAAAGAACATTCCCCTTATGATTTTCATAAACTCTTTAGGATTGTTAATTAATAAATACAAATTCCCTTTATGGTTTTCATAAACTCTTTAGGATTGTTAATTAATAAATACAAATCAAAATTATCAAAATTATGTAATTGGAGAAAAATCGAACTCAAACTCAATCAAAACAAATTTTTTCCGTCAAATTCAGAATACGTTCAAATGGGATGGGTATCCTGAGAACGGGTTATGTTGTCTTGCCTAATCTGAGTCCATAAAATGAATAAATAAGTGGGTAAATAGTTATAAGAAAAAAATTTGAACAATTAATAATTTTAAAGTTATGATGACCCCATAAGATTCATTTGTGTTTTGCTCTCAGGCTATTCAGAACTTGAGCAATCCATATAGAACAAAATAACACAAAAACCCTAAAATACTAAAAATTCTGAACAGAAAAAAAATGCACAAATATGTTCATATTACATTGCATAAATAAGTCTTTAACTATACTTTAATCATTTAGTCAACTACGATGTCTTGATTATTGTACTTGCTTACAATAATACCCACCCAAATGCAGGCAGCAAAATTTTGAATAGCCTATAAAAGCGTGAACAATAATAACTTATATCATTAATCTCAAAAATGAGAATTAAATGAAGGAAATAGAATGAAAAGAAAATATCATATAACGCTACAAATTGAAGGAGTTGTTTACTGCTTCCACCACTTGGGAAGTGCTTTGATCCCTTTGCAGCAGAAGATAGCTTAATGCAATAGTTGTTTCATGTTTGTTTTATTCATTCAGTTTCCCTGAAGCTTCCACTAGTCAGCCACAATTTCTTCTGGATGATAAAAACAACTTCATCGTCATCATCGGCAGTTGCAACTGCTTCCCAGTGCAAAGCAGTTAAGTACTTCTTCACGAAATCAATCATTGGCTGTTTATCGCGAATGATTATAAAACCGGTTGGCCTGAGTATGCGGTCCATCTCAATTAATAGATCCTCCGGACTGCAATCTTTCTTTGCTACGTCAGACAAGACACTCCATGCATGGAGCAAATCGTAAGTTCGAGGGTATGTCGAGAATGCTTCACACCTGTTCAAGATGCATCGAGTTGTTAGGACTCAAACTTTGAATAAACTTTCTCATCATTCATGAGAAGCTACCAACAAAAATTTGACAAAGAAAATGCATGTTGTTAAATTGCGGCTATAGCACCACTATGACACTATCGCGTATCGAATGACATAAATTGGCTACAATACCAGTCATGAGTGGCACCAATGAGGCCTCTGTCATATATAAGTTTGAGTGAGTTTGGTCCATCTTGAGGGACAACATTCATCACCCAAACATCTTTGTCTTTAAGAGCAGCTGCAAATGAACCCATGTTTGCTTTCATATCCATAATATTCCTTATCGTGTTTGATTTGATTTTTTGACTCATGAGACTCCAGTATTTATCGACTCTCTCTCGCCATTGTTCCTGAAAAATGTAAGCCGACAGTTTATCTAAAGAAACAGAAAATTACTTAAAACCATTAACAAGACGATCAATTGTAATTTCAAATTACATTATCCTTCTCAAACATTTCATTTGAATAGCCAAAGTCGGCTAATCTAGGAGGAGGACTGGTCAATCTTGCAGGCCAAGGAGCTAAGCCACTACCTTTAGCTTTGTTGTCATCTGATAAAAATGCCAAAAAAGAAGTGTCTAATGAATTGATGTCATAAAAAAGAGAACAAATAACAATGAGAAAAAAAAGTACTCACGGTCACTGTAAGGTGTAATACAAACTTCCATATTTACTCCCCAAACTGCATCGGGATCTGCGTCAGACTGGCACAGAGGAGGGCGAGTACCGGGTTCTCTTTCTTTATAGCATTGATTTGTCAAAGGTTTTTGCCAGATGACAGTTTGGTCTTTTTTAGATGCGATTCTCCAACACATACGCCCCACGAGATCACTCATTTCTTTCCATATCCTTAGATTTTCTTCGTCCTGAGCATACGCTTCGGGAGATGAGTATGCGAAATAACCTCCAGGCCTGAGCACCCGGTCTAGTTCAAGGAGCAGTATTCCATCTCTTTGAAGCCAATCAATACGACAACGAGAACAATGAGCAAGTTCAAAAGATCTGCTTGGGTAAGGGAGTCTCTTAGTTCCCAAGACACCAAGGTATGCAGGAATTCCTCTTTCTAGGGCAAATTGGATTTGATTTTGATGCACATCATTTGGTGCCAATGACATTGTAATGATATCAGATGAAAGAAGGTATCCTCCGAAACTTGCAACACCACAGCCAACATCAAGCACTGTCCGCAACTTTCCTTCATTGTTTAGATTATTGTTCGAAAAGTTAAGCATATTTGCCATTGATGCAATGTACTTATCAGCTCCATAATGAAAATGAGTCCCGCCTCCAGGAAACACTATCTTCTCACCCTTTTCAACCATCCAGTTCTGGTCAGATTTCTCATGTGCAAGATGAGTATGTGGTATATTTGCTTTCCACACCTCATCTCTGCTTTTTGGCCACTTAACTGGGACCTGCAAAATTAGAGACATGACAGATGTTTAGATTAAAACAATACATAGGTATCAGAGGAATAGAAAGAAGATCCCGTCTGTTGAAGAAGTTATAGGTTTTAGAGGAGTGAAACAATAAGAACTATGAGTATGATTAACAATAACATGATACTAACTTGATACAAAAGACTAAACACTAACCCCTATTTAAAAGGTCGCAAGACTTCAAATCAAGAATAAATAGGAAAATCAGGAAACAAATCATCGATAACTAAGAAATAAGTCTACGTTGGATATTATGAAATAGTAAACTATTATGAAATATTATTTTATATTTGTAACAACATCAACTCTTAGTAAAGCTTCACCTTGTATCCTGCTGGCGGTGGAATCAAGCAATTGTAGCGCCTTTCCGCAGGAGGACAATGTCTCTCATAATGTTCCATCAGAGACAAGTCCAATTTCATCCGCAGTTGATAGATAAGGTGTCTATCTAAGCAAGGAATCAACTCTGAATGACGATCATCACAAACCTTCAAAAGTAGAAAAATAGATTGATGATAAGCTAAAAGTGAATGTTATGTAAACAAATAGAGTGGATGTCTCCTGCATCTAAGATTACGAAGCAACTTACAGGGAAACTCTTTGGAACAATATTGTCCTCCTCGTCTCCCTGCCCAAAACTCGATGAAGATTCATCTTTTCCATCATTGTCATCATCCGCACCCAAATATGATGAGCCAAGTTTCCTCAATGTTTTTCCATATTCTAGAGCAGATGAACCACTATTTTGAGAACCAAAGATGGATCCTCCATACACATACAGAAAACCAATGAAAATCGTCACCGCACATATGGAAGCAACTAAGCGCTTCTTTTGTGATCCATCAGTTCTTCCCCTCGACATTTATTAGTTGAAATTTGAAATCAATATAGATCCAAATTTCAGTGTTCAGTTATGAACTTAAAAGGATCTTGCTTCACCAAACATTCAAAGTCAAATCCACAATCCAAAACCCAACCGAATGTCGCAGCACCAATAATTCAAAATACAGCTTCCTCACAACACACTGACATAACGTATTACCTGCAAAGATGGAAGAGAACAGCAATCAGCAAATTTGGTACTCGGCTTTTAACTAATCTGCAGACCATTATTATAAGTTTACATACGTAAACGTTTAAACTAAGATAAGGAAAACAGTCCGAATACAAAGACTAGTTCAAACTTCTGTATCCAATGCAAATCGGTAATATTTTGTCGAGTACGAATTGGTGATCTATACAATCCTAGAACTTAACTAAAGCTATTGCAATCTAGTTCAGCAGTAAGTTAAAGCTCAATCTACAAGATTCTTCATTCATTTCTAGTTTTTAGTCAAATTATTTGACTAGAGACATCACATAGTAAGAAAAACAATACAAGATTATAAAAGTGAATAATGACAATAATGATAGTGATCAAGTTAAAATGATGGATCCAATCCAAATCACCACAGAAAGAACCATGATCGAAAGTGACAAGTAAACATATCGATAACAAAAATATAACTCAAAAAACCCAAATTGGGATTAAAATCAAACATGATGAACCATGTTAACAATAAATAACAATAATAAGCATAGACTTAAACAGAACTACCAGATCTGACCTAGTGGAAAACAACACTAGCATTGAAAAGTGTAACTAACACTCATTAATAGCAACTAGCCTAAACTCTTAGGTGCAGCTGAACATTCAAATCAATACATCAGTGACAACAAACAACCATCACAAGTTCACACAAGGACACTAAAACAAACTAGAACAAAAAACATATAGTAAAATTTTCAGATCTATCCCAATCCCAAAAAAAAAAAAGCAAAATAAAGAAAAAGTAGAATGACAGAAAAAAAGCTTACTGGGTTCAGATGAGAATCCAATTGGGTACAAGAAAAGGAAAAACTTTATATAAAAGAAGAAGAGAAACAAGAGAGGTGATGAGAGAGATCTCAACAAGTGTTTGTGTGAGACAGACACGGTGTGAATTTTAAGGTGGTGTGTTACAACCTAAAAGTGTGTGGAAACAGTTGCAAAGTGTCGACAAGAGGAAATTGAGGTGTGATTAAGGTGGCAAGATTATTAATTAATTAATTAATGTTGAAAAAAAGTGATTATTGTAACGTGAATGTGATGAGTGTGAGTGTTGTTTGGTTGGTAAGTGATTCTTACCAACGTGATTCCATTATTTGGAGTTAACAGTTGACAGTGGGAATTGAATTGAATGGAATAATATCTCACCGCGTTTTCTTCCAGCTCTTTCTTCTCCTCTTTCCGTCGGTGATTTGTTTTATGCCACAAAAAATTGAAAATAGGGTCACAATCGTTTCAACAGGGTTTTCATTATTATAAGGAAATAAAAGTTTGAGAATCTTATCTGATTAATCAGTTTGAAGTATTTTTTATATAAAAAATGAATTATTTGAGGAAGTGGAAAATTAACCGTTTTGGTATGATGGGAAATTAGAAGTGGAATTTAGATGAAATAAGGTTGAAATTTGATGATTTTGGTAAACTATTTTACTAGTTGCCTATAAAATAAGGTTAAAGTTAAAGTCAATGAATCAGTCAAAATATTAACAAATAGTTTATTAACTTTGTTAGGTAATAAGTATGGATTTAATTTGTTCTTTCGATCCACTAATTAAAGAGGATCAATCTCACAATCATTTTTGAGGGATCAGTTTAAAATCAGAGTAAAATTCTATGTGAATATGGTCTAGCACGTGAATTATTAGTACCTAGCAGAACTCGAACATAAAAGAGGAGTATACTTTCAAAACCCAAGACTTTATCACTAAACCAATTATTGAGGGTTTTCATGCTTTCAAAAAATTAACACAGTATCAAGAGTCTATCATATTTTAGTACTCTTTACCTTCTTTTTGCATGGCAATAATTGTTAAATTGTAATGTATTGTGTCGAAACTATGTGTCGAAAAGATTTGATTTGTTTTAGATTTAAATAGATTTGACTTAAGTCTAGAATAGATTAGATTTGATTTAGTAACAAAATAGATATTTTGGGTTTTAGGCTTAGGGTGTAAGCTCAGTTATAAATAGAGGAAGTAACCCCTATTTTTTGTAAGCAAGTCAAGCAAATCAATTAAGTTGTATTCACTGAATTTGCAGTTGTAAGTGAATAACAAAGTTTTCACAGTTTATGAGCAGAGAGAAATTCTGCAGAAATTATTTGTCTTGTCTTCTTTTATTTGTTTGTCACATAATTAAACTGTCATTGTGGTAGAAATTCATCATACATATTTGGTAGATTTCCAATATCTGGTATCAAGAGCTTTGGTTTCGATTCGAGGGAAGTGTCAATCAAGAACGATTGAAGAATTCACGATGACAAGTTATGGGAATGTAAACTATCCAGCAACGCTACCAATTCTGAAAGTTGACAACTATGAGAATTGGTGCAAATAGATGAAAGTCTTATTCAGGTGTCAAGGTCTTTGGGACCTTGTAAAAGATAGAGTCGAAGCGCTTGGAGAAAACGCTTCAGAAGAAGAAAAGAAGAAATACACAGAATCTGAGAAGTGAGTTATAAAGCATTATTTATAATTCATCAATGTGTCAGTCCAGACAATTTTGAAAAGGTTAGTGATTCAGAATTTGCAAAAGAAGTTTGGGAGATCCTTGAGAAGTCTTTTAGAGACGCTGAGAAGGTGAAAGAAGTGAGGTTACAAACTCACAAAAGGACGTATGAACTGCTTCAGATGGAAGACAGTGAAAGCATATATGATTTCTTCACTAAAGTTACAAAACTAGTAAGTCAAATCAAGATATGTGGAGAAGCGTTAACAACAGGAGTTGTTGTTTCGAAGATCTTGAGATCTTTAGCTCCTAAGTTTGACCATATAGTGGTGGCGATAGAAGAGGGGAAAGACTTGTCAAAATTGACAAAGGAAGAGCTTCAAGGGACGCTTGAATCTCATGAATAAAGAATGAACAAAAGAGCTGCAGGAAAATCGAAGAGTGATGTGGCCTTGCAGGCACATTCAGCAAAAGATATCAAAGGCAAAGGAAAGTATTTCAACAGAGGTAATGGTGGCTACAGCAAATCGAATGGTAGAGGAAACTAAATCGAAGAAAACGTGTCCAATCAAAGAAGACCATACCAAGGCAACCAAAGAGGTGGTGTTGCAAATAGAGGAAGAGGTGGTGGTCGAAAACCTGATAAGAGTCACATTTAATGTTACAATTATTAGAAGTATGGTCATTATTCGAGTGATTGTCCAGAAAAACGAAAGAATCAAGAAAGTGATGCAAAGCTTGCAAAACATGAAGAAGAAGAGATGATGTTGATGGTCACAACAAAAGATGAAGATAGATTCAAGGACCAACGGTACTTGGACTCAGGATGCTCATCACATATGTCTGGAAGGAAAGACTGGTTTGTCAATATAAAGCCCTCAATGAAAAATATGGTAAAATTTGTAAATGACAATACCCTAGCAGCTAAAGGTATTGGTGATGTTATGGTTATGAGGAAAGATGGGAAAAGGTCAGCAATCTCCAATGTGTTGTACATACCAGGCATGAAGAGCAATTTGCTCAGTATAGGACAGTTGGTCGAAAAGAATTATAAAGTGTCAATCGAAGATAAGATGATGAGAGTCATTGATGCAAATGAGAGATTGATCTTAAAGGCTCTTATGTCTCAGAATTGAACCTTCAAGATTGAACTAAATGTGATGGAGCACAAGTGCCTTTCGACTGCAGCTAGCAGAGATGAATGGATATGGCATTATAGACTAGGCCATCTCAACTTCAGAGACATCAGAGATTTGAAGAAAAAAAATATGGTTCAGGATTGCCTGAAATTGACATTCCAAACGAGGTATGTGAGGAATGTGTGCAGGCGAAGCAACATAAGAATAACTTCAGCAAGGAAGCAGGAAGCAGGTCGAAGGCTATTCTTGAAGTCATATACTCTGATGTATGTGGACCAATTCAAGTGGATTCAATGGGAGGTAACAAATACTTTGTTACATTCATAGATGATTTCAGTCGAAAGCTGTGGACTTATCTGATCAAGAAGAAAAGTGAAGTGATCAAAGTATTTTCCAAGTTTAAGTCTATGGTCGAAAGACAAAGTGGTCTAAAGCTCAAAGTTTTGAGAACTGATGGTGGTGGAGAATATGTGTCGAAAGATTTCGACAGGCTATGTGAAAAGGAAAGGATTATGCATGAGGTGGTGTCACCCTATACTCCATAACAAAATGGAGTTGCAGAAAGGAAGAATCAAACCATCATGAATATGGTACGAAGTATGTTGAAAGGCAAGAATTTACCTAAAGAGTTTTGGGGTGAAGCTGTTTCGACTGCAACATACATTTTAAACAGATGTCCTATGAAGAAGCTAGAAGGAATCACTCCAGAAGAATGTTGGTTTGGTGTGAAGCCTAGCTTGAGTCATCTGAAGGTATTTGGATATATTGCACATAGACATGTGCCAGATCAGTTGAGAAGGAAACTTGATGACAAGTCAATTCAAATTATTCTAGTTGGATATCATTCGACAGGAGGCTACAAGTTGTTCGATCCAGAGAATAAGAAGATTGTGATCAGCAGGGACATGATCATAGATGAGTTTAAAGAATGGGATTGGACTAAAAATGTCAAGAAAGATTCAGTGGGAATCCTATTCGAAGAACCAGAAACTCAAGTCGAAAGAGAAGTTCAACAAGAGGAACCAACAGATATACCAAGTACAAGCAGGCCTCAAAGAACAAAACGCATGCCTGCAAGATTGCAAGATTGTGTGATTACATCGGATGATGTGATATATGATGAAGGTGAGTTGGTACATTATGCTTTCTATGCAGATGTCAAACCTATTAATACAGCTGAAGCATTGAAGGATTCAAAGTGGGTGAAAGTAATGAACGAAGAAGTGAAGTCTATCAAAGACAACAACATTTGGTCACTTGTTGAATTGCCTCAAGGAAAGAAGGCAATTGATGTCAAGTGGGTATACAAAGTGAAAACGAATTCGAAAGATGAAGTAACTCGACACAAAGCAAGGCTTGTGGCGAAAGGATTTCTACAGAAAGAAGGAATAGACTTTGATGAAGTTTTTGCACCTGTTGTTAGGATTGAAACAATCAGGTTGGTTGTTGGTCTAGCAAAAATAAACAGTTGGCACATATGTCAGATGGACGTGAAGTGTGAATTCCTAAATGGATCCTTAGGCGAAGAAGTCTATGTTAAACAACCAGTTGGGTTTGTGAAACATGACGAAGAAAGAAAGGTGTACAGGCTGCATAAAGCCATGTATGGATTGAAACAAGCTCCAAGGGCTTGGAATAAGAATTGATAGTTTCCTAAGGGAGAAGGAATTTGTGAAGTGCACAACTGAACATGGAGTAGTATATGTAAGAATAAGCAAGAGTAAATTGCTTATACTATGTCTCTATGTAGATGATTTGTTGATAACAGGTAGCTGTAAAAGTGAGATTGAAGACTTCAAAGGTGATCTCAGCAAGGAATTCGAAATGTCTGATTTGAGTGAGATTTCATATTTCCTTGGTATCAAATTCTACAAGAGCAGTAGAGGTTTGATGATGCATCAAAGAAGATATGCAGGAGAAATTCTCAAGAGATTTGAGATGGAAGAATGCAACCCAACTTCGACACCTGCAGAACCAAGACCGCAACTATCGAACAATGAAGATGATGTTGATCCAACCCAATACAGAAGACTTATTGGATCATTGAGATACCTTTGTCATACAAGGCATGACTTAGCATACAATATAGGTATGGTAAGTAGATTTGTGCAGAAGCCAAAGGTATCACATCTAACAGCAGTGAAGAGGATACTAAGGTATCTCAAAGGAACTTTCAATTATGGCATTTTGTTTCCTACAACTGATAAAGGAAAAGAATGCAAGTTAGTGGGATACACTAATTTGAGTTGGTGTAGTGATGCTGAAGATCGAAAGTCAACAGCAAGATATGTGTTTATGCTAGGTGGTGCACCAGTTGCTTGTAATTCAAGAAAGGAACCAGTAGTGGCATTATCATCATGCGAAGCAGAATACATAGTTGCTTCTATTTGTGCATGTCAAGCAACTTGGATGGTGAATTTGGTCGAAGAGATAACAGAGAAAGATCATGGAGCAATTACCATGAAGATAGACAACATGTCAGCTATTAGTCTGGAGAAGAACCCAATAGCACATGGTCGAAGTAAGCACATCGAAATGAGGTTCCATTATCTTCGAGAGAAGGTAGCAGATAGGAAGATGAATTTGGAACATTGCAGAACTGATAATCAGATTACAGACATCATGACAAAGGGAGTGCAAGTTGAAGTATTCATAAGACTAAGAGCCGTGATGAACATAGATAGTTTAGACACAATGAATTAGGTGGTGTGTTAAATTGTAATTCAGTGTGTCGAAACTATGTGTCGAAAAGATTTGATTTGTTTTAGATTTAAATAGATTTAATTTAAGTTTAGAATAGATTAGATTTGATTTAGTAACACAATAAATATTTTGGGCTTTGAGCTTAGGGTGTAAGCTCAGTTATAAATAGAGGGAGTAACCCCTATTTTTTGTAAGCAAGTCAATTAAGTTGTATTCACAGAATTTACAGTTGCAAGTGAATAACAAAGTTTTCACAGTTTGTGAGCAGAGAGAAACTCTGCAGAAATT